ATGAATAACCTCAAATTACATGGCATGAAAAGTCATGATTGTCATGTATTTATGCAAAGGCTAATACCTATTGCATTTCATGACATGTTACCAATAAATGTATGACAATCACCGACTAAGCTTAGCTTATTCTTTAAGGAATTAACATCTACTGTGATTAAGGTTGAAGATATGATCCGTCTTGAGGAAAATATACCAATAATCGTATGCAAATTAGAGCATATTTTCCCACCTAGTTTTTTCGACTCAATATAGCATCTTCCCGTACACTTGGCATATGAAGCAAAAATAGTCGGACTCGTACAATATCGAGGGATGTATCTATTTGAAAGGTATAAATTTATGATTTTAGTGAACATCCATAAGTTTATAACTCTATCAAATATTGATTAAGTCTAATGAACTCACAATATTATTGTAGGTACCTTCGCAAATTAAAAAATAATATTAAGAATAAAGCCGTAGTCGAAGGGTCAATATGTAATGCATATTTAGTTAAGGAAGCTTCAATGTTTTGTTCATATTATTTCGAACCTCATGTACACACTAGGCATTGAAAAGTGCCTAGAAACTTTGAGTGTGATCGAGAACCGAATGACGATATTAAAGGCATGTTAGCAATATTCATTTCTAAAGGTAGACCTCTTGGTCGAGCACGATCACATGTCCCGATAGATCAAGAAAAGAATGCAGCACACACCTACATTCTATTAAACTATGATGAGGTCACACCTTACATGGAGTAAGTTTTATAAGCTATCAAATATTATCACTATACATTTATTCATTAACTATCATTCAATTTTAAAACATATAATAACAATATTTTTATCGTCGGATATTTTATTAGTCAACTTTATGAAAGTGACCTTAACATATCAAAAAACGAGGTTGATTTTTGACTTCAAAATCAATTTGCATCATGGTTTCATCGATATGTGAATATTGCAAAGTCAAGATTGTTATTAAATATTCATAAATTTATTTTATCAAATTTTATAATAACGTTACCTTATAATTAACTCGGTCCTTACATACAAGCAAGTCGAGTATAACCTAAAACCGTAACAGATCATTATATTAAAGATTTGGCCAAAGGATCATTACAAAGTGCAAAGTCATATGCGAGGTACATTATAAATGGATATAAGTTTCATACCGATGTTGGTGGTTTGGAGAGAGCATCAATGTGTAGTGGAGTGTGTGTAAAAGGAGTTAGCTACGAGTGTGGTGAAAAATGACTACTACGGTAAGTTGATTGACATACTCGAACTTGAGTATCCAGCCTTACCAATAAAAAAAACCATTTTGTTCAAATATGATCGGTATGATATGACACCCGAAATCAATACACGAGTTCATGATCATTATGGACTAGTCGAGGTTCATAGTCGTAGGTATTCAAATAGATCCAATCCCTTCATACTAGCATCACAAGTGCATCGGGTGTATTATGTAACATATCCTACATGTAAACGCATACGACGAGTTTGGTTAGCGTTATGTAAGGTTAAACCAAGGTCGACGGTTGATGTGTCGAAATGTCTATTACCGTCGATCAAACGAATATCGCCCTTTCAAGAAAATGAAATAAAAGGCCAACACAATGTTATGCACGTTGATGATGATGAAGGTCAGTCATTGATTGATCCTACTAGATCATTATTATAATTGGACGATGGTGAAATAGATATTCAAAATGAATCGGAGTTAGAAACCGATGTTGAAGAAGACTTACATGAAGAATATGACAATGATGATTATGATACTAATTAGAGATAATATGGTATATCCCAATAGATTATGTTATATTGTATTTTTTATTCAATTCATAAATTATGCATTTGGATTTTATGTAATTGTAGTATGAATTTAAGGATTTAGGCAACCTTGTCCTCCCGGATTGTTGGGATAGGCTGGTTTTGTCCCCGGTGTAATTTTCATACTATTTTAATAAATCTCCGAGGTACCGTCCCCGTTCTGTCATAAAAAAGAAAAAATTAGGTTTATTGTTATGTTTATCTATATAGTTAACTTATACTTTTTAAAGGTAAGATTTAATTAAATAAATATTTTTGATTTATTGTTCTTTAAATATAAATCAATTTGCTCATATTAATTTGAATGTTATATGTAAGTATATATGCATTATATAATTAATATTTTATTTAAATACTATTGAATTTAATAATTAATATGTAGGTCATAATGACTCGAGGTAGGGGTCGTGGTTCGGATACCGATCAATCCGACGGTGATCGTGGACGTAGACACTCTTCTCATTCCGCTCACTGGTCGGATGGATCCCCCATCGCACATGCCTCCGTATCACTCTTTCGGTGGCCCATCCACATACCGTTCCATGCCCGACATGTCTCAACCTTAGCCATTTCCTTATTATAGACCTCCACGTCGACCTCCATCATCTTTTCCTTCGTCGTTGTCGGTGCCTTCGTCATCACATCGAACAATCGTTACGTTTCTCAACACGTTCCACCCCACAACATCCCACGTCAATCGACTTGGAAACCTATCACATCTGCAGTTGACCATCGAGTATTGTCGTTGGGCGCAATGAGTACGATTTATGCTTAATTTAATTAAATATTTTTTTATTACCGTTATTATGTACTCGATTATTTATGAATTTAATTAATGTTTATTTTTGATAGGTCGTATCCCTATGATGTTTGCTCTCGCTCGATGGTTAAGACATTCCAAGAGTATGTTCATATTTCAAGATGGATGTGGAAGAAAATGAGTCCGGAGGCAAAAGACTTTTACTCGGAAAGAATTTAAGGTACTAATTTCTAAATTTTATTTGATTATATTATTTAATATTTAATTAAATAGCATAAAATAATATGAAAATAAATTTAGTAATGTTTATTATTATTATTTTTTTGGCGTAAATCATTTAAGTGGGATGATGATTTGAACGAGAGCATAGTTAAGGAAGCATGAGAAAGTCTCGCACGGAAGCAATATTCGACTTTCTTTGTCGTCTAAGGAAAAAACCAAAGCTAGCATATATCTCATAGGAAATATGAGATACATAGACTACGGAATGGATGAAACCCGAGGCCGTTGCTCAATCCGAGATGGCGAGCACGGAACCGTAGGAGTGAGACCGATGGTGTCGGAGCCGGTCCTTCTAGACATACGGGGGATCAATTAGCCATAGAGAGCACGCCATACGCATGATAAATAAATAAATATTAATTTATTTATTTATAATTTTTTAAAAAATAATACCCAAAATAATTAATTAAACATTTAACTATATTTAATACATTTACGTTTATTTATATATGCTTTCGGCGTAATGTGTTGGGTCATGAACCCGATGCTCATGAGGTTTTCTTGAGGACTCATCGGAGAAAAGTTAATGATCGGTTAGTGTTCTTCGATCAACGAGTCGAAGGTTATCGGAGTAAGTGATAACTTTGAAACATTATTTAATATTTGTTAGTTAATAACGTTATTTGACATACATATTTAATATGATGTGTTTCATAATTATACAGGAGATCGTACAAAGATTAATTAATGAGCTACCGACGGTCGGGAGGGATTGAATCGACCACACCCGACATTATGACATATTTCGGAGGGCCATTGGTGGAGGAGATAGTAGGAGAAAGAGGATGTACGGACTCGGGTTACATGCATCTCACTATTATTCTACTCGTCAATGCGGGCTCATCTTTTGCTACTTCTAGATTCAATGCAGCTGACGAGGCACAGCTGAAGGAATTACAAGAGCAAACATCTACAAACACGACACACATCAATAACTTAGAGGGTACCGTCAACGGACTAGAGGGCCGAGTGGCATCATTGTTGGATATGACAAATGAGTTGAGAAACTATAGTCGACGGCAGTATACGATGATGTCACGGATGCAACGAGATGTTCATGTGGCATTTTGACCATAATGATAGTTCATCCGTCGTTCCCGAGACCGATGACGACGCAACCTAGCCTCCGGACGACTCCACCCAACCTCCGACCGATCCTGGACATTAATTTATTTTAGCGTTTATGTTTTTTTGTATTAACTACAATCGATGTACTTGTTTTTTGTTATTTAATAATCATTTAATTATTTAGTGACGTTTTAATACATTTCGAATAATAAAAATTTACGTTTACGATATTTTACGAGATTTTGGTTATTTTAAAATTGTTACTTTTACCTCATTTTATTTTAGCTGTAAAAAAATTATTTTTTCAATTAGCTACGGTCTTAGCAACGGTGTAGACCGTAGCTAAAGACGAAAATATTAGAAACGGTTTAGACCGTCGCTAATCCGTCTCTATTTAGCAACAACCTTACCAAGGGTTTAATAGACCGTCGCTAATTTCGTAAGTATTTACATCGACATTTAGCGACGAACCAGCAACATTTTTTATTGTCGCTAATTTTGCAACGGTCAAAACCGTCGCTAAACTATACCAACGAGCTTTTTAACGACGGGTACGGGACCGTCGCTAATGAGTCGCGAATTCGTTTTGACGATAGTTTTTTTTAATTTAGCGATGGTTTTGCCCGTCGCTAATGTGCCTTTATTTTGTAGTGATAGTTAATTCACTAATTAAAATTATTAGATAGACACAACGGTTAGATTATATTATCTGGTATTCATTTCAAATTTCCAATATTACTTGAATCTGACAAGCATAATAAAGCTTGAATTAATGGATAATATTAATTATGAAAAAACTGATCATAATACGCGGTTTGTTACGTGTAATTATTTATTAATTAGCTCATCATGCAACCTGCAAAACAATGGCCAGCCTATTATTAATATGCGTTCATACGTCTATCAATCTGCCTTAATACTCGCTACATAACGCCTCCTCTATCCCTCTCTCTTTTCTCATTTTTGGCTTTTCTCTATCCTTTCTCCCCTCTCTTTCTCTCGCTTTTCTTTCTTTCATTCCTGAACATTCAGGTTCTCTGCTAGAACCTCGATCTTGCCGTAAATATTTGATGTCTTCGGTATGATATTTCCATCTTTGTTCTATATATATATTTTTAATCCATTATAATATTTAATCTGTTTTTTTATCCATGAGAAATTAATTATGAATTTGTTTGAGTTGATACGATGATGTGCTTTGTAAATCACGTTATTCTTTTATATAAATAATGCTATTTAATTATTTAAATCTCTCTTGTTTTTTTTTAAAAAATCCTATAACTTCTCTCTTGATTAATGGTTCTATATATATACATGGAGAATTTTAATGAAAATGACAAATTAGAAGATTGAGGGTTATTTTCATGTGCCAAAGCTTATGGAATTAATTTAGTAGTTTTATTTTCTGGTAAGTAGTTGACTAATTGTTTGATCAACCATTTATGTACGTATAATACAAATCACCAATCTTCATCCAAATTTAAATTTTGTACCTGTGCATGGTGATAAAAAAGTAAAAGAAAAAAATTGTGGTGATTAATGCAGACAATAGCCTGGCTAAAACTGCAAGCCACGAAAATTTCGAAAACTCGATGTGATGTTTTTGGGCATTATATAGGATGATCTAGTAGTTGGAGAATATGTTAGTACTGAACTTGATCGATCGGATGATCTAGGAATTGATGAACCAGCGAAGTGGAAATTCAACAAAACGGTACCATGCATGAATGCTTATGTTTTTCGTTATTTTTGTACGCAGCAAGACCAGGGAAGGCCATTGCCAAAGTTTGGTGAGTGGGATGTGAACAATCCTGCGTCTGCAGAAGGATTCACTGTCATCTTCAGCAAAGCGAGAGATGAGAAGAAATCGGGTGCTGGAGCTGGGGCTGGATCAGCTTCACAAAGGAAAACTAATTCTTCTCAAGCAAATAGTCAGTATCCCCAACCGGTATGTAACCCCATAATCTGCCATCACAGAATTTCAATCAACATATACTTTTAACTTCTTCTTTTTTTATGTTCTATGATTTTTGGTGGCAGAAAAAAAGATTTTGCTGTTTCTGAGACCAATGATGGCTTTGGGGGCTTATCAGATTATGCAAATTTGTCCATGAAGTTCTTCAAGTTCGCATTTCAGGTTGAGAGTGGGGAATGATTGTCTGCTATTTCGTTTCCCTTCAGTGCTGCCCCTTGTTCCCTTATGTATGTATTTTAGGAGAAAACATTGACGATAAATATGACTTCGGCTGTAGTTTCTTAATTTTCGTCTACTTCCATAGAACTTTTGCTGATGAATCAGCTACCTGTCAACCATAAAGATTGAGTTTCACTAATGTTGGAGATTCATAGACAAGTATTCTATATATGGCTTCTCATTCTCAGTTAACATAATTTTACATGAGCAGTTAATTTCGAAACTTTTACGAGCACAGACACTCTCAAGGATAATTAGATCTCAATGTTAGCAGCCTGCAGTGTGTCGGACTTTCGAAAACAAGTTATGATTGTGCTGCCGGTTGAACTCACTTTTCCTGCCATTTAAATCTTCTGGCAGCATTCAAATGATGAGCTATGGTACTGGTGAAATATTAGAAATAGAAATGTGAGCTGCAAAAAATCATGGCTAGCCTACCTAGGTTACTTGCGTACCAGGTAAATATCATTTGTCAGATTACATTTTCTCTACTTCTCAATCCAAACAAAGAAAAGAAATTAAGAGTAGTAATCATAGGACTAAACTACTATATACTTAGTATGTAATAAAGTACTAAACCATCCATACTTGCAAGGAAAGGTCCATCCGACGCACGAAAGCCTTTGCCGACCTTAATAGAAAAGGTAAATAATATGTTTCTTAGCAAAGAAGCTGATAACTTGATCAGGAAGCAGAATTCCTGTGCAAATTGCTGGAGTAGACAGTCATCACCATTTCAACAGTCAGCCAAACTAGTCCCTCCTATTGAACAGTTTCTGGCTGATGAAGGCTCTAGAAAAGGGTTCAACTGGAAAGTTGATGAACTGTAGTTTTCTGGATGGTCATACGAACACCCCAGGCCAAACTTACATATACCAAAATGCTCATAATGCCGCAGATTCTTTTATCCTGAATAACGACACATTCAAGGCACCTTAAGTAAAACAATTATTAAAAAAAATATTCAAATCTCTTTTTAAAATCATATCATTTTCCGTATTGAATCATTTCAAATACACTAAGGGTTTGTTCCATTCTAAGTTCTAATAAATGCAGTTATGTCATAACTAAATCCATAATGCAATGACAGATATATCGAAGGAATTTAAAAATATAATATGTTATATATTATCCATTCATAGTATAATCAAGTGATCGAACGAAATCATAGTTGCTTGAGACGTAGTTGCCTACTTTAAAGAATCTAGTGATACATAGTGATGGGGTAATCATCAATATCACATACCGAAGACTAATTCAAAACAAATGAATTATTCTAAAAATTGAGATGCAAGATAATTTATAAGAATGAAACTAATTGGAAAGGTTCAAAATGATAACTTTAACTAAACGTTTACTCTTTCAACCGATTCTAGACAATTACACTTTGCTACAAATAATCTCACCTATCGCCAATGCTCAATCAATCTTCATATATATCATTTTTTTCTACAACTTATCATCCTAACAAAATTGAGAATTCCTCAATTAAATCATAAATTCTATTCTAATTCACTCAATTCTTATTTCATTCATCTTTAATTGTATTTATATAAATTAATTCTTTATTTTTTTCTAAATTCTTTTCAATCTAAAACCCGATTTCAAATTTTTCACTATTCATCATCTTCAACGTCTTAAATTAGTCAAATTTACCCAATTCAACTTCATAAATCACTAACCTAAAATAATTTAACATCATTTAATCAATTAGAATTACTTAATCAACTTTTTTTCAAATGGGTCTCAAAACCTTAACATTAATCTATCTCAATTCTTCCTTCTAATAACAACCTAATACAAATCAACTTCAAAATCAGCAATAAATACATATAAACATTTCAATTTAAAGGCCAAGTGACAAAAAGTCTTACCTTTGCAATTGGCTCTTCAACCCCAATTTCAATCCTAAACTCTTCAAGCCTTCCAAGTTTTAATCCAGCTAAACCCCACTTTAATCAACTTGTTTTACAATTTTCGTAACTTAATTGGTCAAGGTTTTAACTTAGAAATTTGGAGGAGGGAAATGGGAGGAAGTAGAGAGTGAATGAGGAAGAGAAAGGGAGGGAAGAAGACGAGAAAAAATGAGGGACAATAAGTCGTCTCGTTTTTTCTTATATACCGCCCAAAAATATTTTTAAAAAAACCCTTATATTCAAACCTCATAATACTCACTACTATGATCTATTTCATTTAAAAAAATTCTAAAAATATATAAATTACTAAATTAAATCTAATTTTTAGGACAAATTATTATAAAGGAAGAGAAGGAAAGGAGAGAAAGAAGAAGAAAATGAAGGAAAAGGGAAGGGGTGGAAGGGAAGAAGAAGAAAAGAAGAAAGAATGGGAGTTTAGAGGGATTAATGGCGTCAATGGAGGATTTTAAGGAGGTGGTGGCAACGGCGAAGAAGAAGAATGGAGAAGAGAAGAAGAAAAAACGGAGAAAAAGAGTGTTTGACATAAATTTAGGAATTTGTGTTTAGCGACGGGCTAGAAATCATCGCTTTTTAAAAAAAAAATTCTTTTTTCCCTCCGGATATAATATTTAGTAACGATCACTAAAGGCACCTAAAAACGATTCATTAGCGACAGCTTTTCAAAAATGGTCACTCGAAAAGCCCCATTTTTTAGGGCTTATAACGACGATTTTCTCTAAATCGTCGCTACAAACTCCCAATGTTTGGGGGAATTCAATGATGGACTATTAAAGCTATCGCTAAATTCCCTCCAAACATTTAGGCAATTTTTAGCAATAGGTTAATTTGATCGTTGCTACATTCCCAAAAAGTATCCATTAAAACTTTTTGAAGAATTTAACGACGGTCCGTTAAAATCATCAATAATTTTGCTCTAAAATAACGACGATTTTTCTAAACCATCACTAAGTAACTGAAAAATGGATTGGATTTGCGACAGCTTTAAGAAGACCATCGCTAAATTCTCAAAAAGTATTGGTTGGAGTTTGTTGGGGAATTTAGCGACGCTTTATAGAAACCATCGTTAATTTTGCCCAAAGGGTTATTTAGCGACAGCTTTGGGAAACTATCGCTAAATAACCAAAAGGTCGAATCCGTGACGATCCGACCATACCATCGCTAGACCGTCGTTAAATTGACCATTTTCGTGAGGGGTTTTTCAAATACATCTCTAAATTTATGTGTTTGTTTGCGATGGTTTAGAAAACTATTATGAATTTGTTAAAAAAACCCAAAATTGTAATGAAATTTGCGAGAGTCTAAACAAATCGTCGTGAATTCTTGGTTTTTAGAGGCTGTTTTCTAAATGGTCCCTAATCTTATGTTTTGTTGTAATGGGAGTTAGTTAATAACCACCATGTTTTGAAAAATTACACTAATATGGATATATTTATTAATAAAAAATAAACAAAAAAAATATAGAATTTTAATTTTCTCATCTTATTAATTTTAGAAAATTAATGCCAATATTATTTCTTCATATATAATAGCAAATAATCATTCATCCATTTGAAAATTTATATAATTAACACAAATATACATTAAAAAAAACACTTGAAGTAATATTTCATAATAAATAAATATAATAAGAATATTGTAAATTAAATTACTTGAATTTGAAAATTTTGTACATACTAATGGACTTTAGAATTAACAAATGGAAATTTGTGTATTAAACTCTTAAAATAGCACAAAATAATTAGAACAATATGTTTACTACGTAGCCTAAAAAAATAAAGTTGTGTTCACCTTTTCGAACGGAACTCATATGTCAAGTACACGTGGCCTCGCCAGTCAGATTGCATGCACCTAGATTAAGATGATTTTTTATCGTATCTTAAATATGTCATCTGCATTCAAATTTATTTTACTTTTTTCGTCCATTAATAAGATTCCAACACGTAGTAGTAGTTAGTGTGCTCTTTTTTTTGTTCTGATTTTCTTTCTTTTATTTATCTTTTCGTTTTTGTGCTTATCTCTTAAAAAATAATTTCCCCACATAAATAATATAAAATTCCTCGGTTTGATTTCAAAATCGTGAACAATATTTTTAAAAGAATAACTTTATGCCTTTGATTTTATATATGTGTGTACTTTCTCTTTTTTCTTTTGTTACATCTTGCATCTATTTGCTCCTCCAAACCTTTTCCATTTTAAGATTTCCACTGCAGGTTTGGTGGATTGTATCATTTGATCCCCCGAAACAAGCAGAGTTATTCAAGCCATTAAAAAAACTAGAGAAGAAAAAATAAAAATAAAAAAACTAAAGGATGTGAAAAGAAGGATTAATTCATGATTGAATATTTATAGAAATGTGCTATCAATCTAAAATAAATTAATAAAATAAACTTCATGCGTTAATCTAGACAAATCCAAACAAATTCCACATTTAAACAGACAAAGAAGCTGATTCCTGCAAGGAAATCAGAGCAGACAGACAGACTTAAAAGACACCTAAAATCCTCCAAAACAATAAACATATCTACTACTAAATACTTAGTAAACTACATAGTAGAAGACACCTGAAGCAACATATGACATTACAAGTTGAAGCAAGAGCACTTTGCAGAAACCAAAAGACAGCACTGCAGAAGGAGAAGCAGCAGATTTTTTGCCACCAGAATTAGTCTCTTGATCAGTTGAAATAACCTTAATGATCATCCTTTGTCCCTTCTCACAGTGTCCGGAAACCCCACTTATGAAGTAGTAAGGCCCTGTATGGTTAAGATGGTAAACAGTGTTACCAGTGTTGGAAAAGAAGTTGGGGTGACTAGAGTTGCACTTCTTGTAATCCTCTACACTGACCTCCATGACAGAATCCTTCCTATACTTGAAACCTGCACAAAAAAATATAAAAATAACATAAAATAATAACTTTTCTTGAACGCTCAGGAAAGGAAAAGGTAATTTTCGTTTCTTTGTATGGGAACTTACGAACTGTATCACCAACTTGGAAGCGGTTCTCGGAGGCCCAGTCATTGTAGATTCTGGTATCATTGGCAGGAGGGACAACCCAGCCTTCTTTACCACCAATTTCGTATTCAAAGGAAAAGACCGAGGAGTATTGAAGAGAAAAGAAAAGGGTCATCAAGAACAGCGACATTTGCTTGGTAGTGCTCATGGTGTAGCAAGAAGCCTATTGCCTACAGAAGCTCTCTTGTTGCGAACTGAAACTATATGAAAAAAAAACTGAACAAAAAAGAGATCTGGGGGATTTATCTGTGAGCGGGTTATGAGAGTTGCGGTTGTGGCTTTAATAATGGGCTTCGTGGGAATGGCAGAGATGGACAAGAATTAGTTACAAGAAATGGAGATGCAGGTCGTGGGGGTCTTCGGGTAACTGTTTAGATATATTACAAAAGAAACTTAAACATTGGGTTAACCTTTTCGTCATGACTCAATTGCTCTGTTCACAATATATGTTTTTTTTTTTTTTTTCCTTTGCTTATAATTGTCCTTTTATTTTACTCTTGATTTTCTATCATGCCACTTGATGAATTTGTGTAATTTCGTATTTGCCCTTAATCGATTTTTTTGGCCTTTTTTGTTTTTTTTTTTTTTTTTCCTTTCGATTATGAGGAGCCGCTGGCAATTCAAGTGCCTCCTCATCATTATTTGCAGGTGATTCATTTTTGATAAATACCATAATAGCTGCTATTGCAATTAGGCTCTCTTCTTTTGCTTTCAATAGTTTCTATCTCTCACACGGTTTTTTTTTTTTTTTTTTCCCTCTTGATTTTACTATTTGGGTTTGGGCCCACTATGAGTTTTCTTCTTCTTCTTCTTTTTCTTTTTAAGTGGCTCCTTTCTTTTGCCTTAAAAAAAATTAAAAATTCATTTTTGGGATTTTGTTTAGGGAAATAATTTTTTTTTTTTTTGACACTTAGATGTACTGTATATATAAAAAAAGAATAATTAAATTGGAAATTTTTTTTTATTTTTTTATATAAAAATAAATTCAGCATAATATTGAGTCCTTTTTTTTAAAAAAAAAAAAGTTCTCTTTGTGAAAAAGAGGGAAAATAATAACTTCCTTTTCCAGTTGACTGATGAAACAATTTTTTTTATTAGCTTTTAAAAAAAATATATTGAAGCTTTGATTTTTTTAATTAATATAAATATTGAAGTTTAAATAGAATACATATGTTATTTTAAAAAAATATTAAATAGATATCATGCTAATGTTCCATTTCTTATCTGTCATTGATGAATTAAAGAACAATAAGTTTTTTTTTTTTTTTTTTTTTTTGTATATAATCCTTTGGTACCATAATAATTTTCCCAATTAATTCCAAAAGATTTGTAATTTTTAACTTTGACCTACTTTATTTTGTAATTAATTTTGTTGATTTAAAATTAATAATTTAAAATTTTTTTTCCTCAAAACCACACTCGTCATATTTAACATAAGATCCAATTAAACCCCAAACATAATTTACCAAATCGAAGTGTTTTTCTATTGAGTCGTGCTGAAAAAAAAAAAAAAAAAAAAAAAAAACCTCCTCAACCCTTAAGTTTTGGCTAGCCTATCTAGCCCAAACTTAAAAACCATTAGCTAGGCATTTCAAGAGGTGTGTTGCCTTATTAAGAGAGAGATTGTCTATGCCCTCTTTGTTGACTTAGGTTAGCCTTAGTTGGTTAGCAATCATTTCCTTCTAAGCTCTAAAGCCTCGAATTTGGTAGCTTTGAGCAAGAAAATAGCAAAAGTTTGCACGATTGATGCTTTTATTGTTGCAAGTGACTACGTCTTTTAATATTTCTTATAAGAGTAATGATTACCTTTATTGAGAGTCTACACGCCAAATTTATCGACTTAGCTCGAGTGTATACTTTTATAGCTTATTCCGTAAGCCAATTGAACGAGTGTTTGTGACGACTTTCGACCTTGTGAGCAATTAAAAAAGAGTGGTACATCATTTATAATCGAGGAGCAACTACATAAGATAGTGATTTGAGTATTTGGAAGTGTCCCTCTCTATGCTTCGAGTTAACCCTAATACTTTCCCTCTTCAATCAAGTACCGAGTTGGCTTTTTAGGACCTCTTGAAGAGCAAAAATAGGAAGTATAGAGTTAACATGTTAGCTAGAGGGTGTTCTCTAATCTATAGCTTGCTAGATAAATAGCTGGATTTTAACTTAATTTTGTTTTTATTTCATGCCTTTATTTTTTATCTTTGATATTTTTCATATTTGCAATGGGCAACTACCCGAGGGAGGCAACAATCCAGATTGGTTCAACATAAAACCTTTTTTTCCCTTACATAGAGAAGAAAAATGATGAGGATGGGGTTTCATATTTGTCATTGTTCTTACTTTTAGGACGAGGCCTAGTGGTGGAAAGAAGTTACTCATCGAAGATGTGGGCAAACAATTGGCAAAGAGGCATAAGGTAGCCTCTATCATTGGCAAGATGAGGAGTTTTTCTACATACCCTCCGAAAAATAAATTCGACCCTTCTACCATTAAAAGGGTCATTCCTCTTATGGTAATCTTAAAAAATGAGGCTTCTTCTTAGTCGTGAAGGGCTCTAAAAAGTGGTGATTGTTTTTAGTTTTGTTTCTCGTATAGAAGGTGAGGTTGATGGAGTTTTTGTAGCCACAATAAGCTTCTCTCCTCTTCGATGCCTAGAAAATGAACTCATTAGAATTTCAAGCCTAAGTTAACCCGTGCATCTTATAGTGTCATCTTGTCTTCTCTTTTATAGAGCATTTTTGTCTACAACAAACTAGTTTGGCAATGTTGTTTCCTTAAAAAGAGAGGAAATAAAGAGACTCACTCGTGTATTTAGAGAAATCTACCTAATTCAAGCTGATGTGGGGTCTTGGACTATGGCTTTTTTATCGAAAAAATAGAGGAGGCCATGCAGCTTAGCCTCTCTACTAGTGCATGTGTCTTTATCTTATTTCTACTTTCATAGCTTTTTTCTTTTGATATAATGCTTACTTGCTATTTTTCCTTAAGCAATTTTTTTAGGTACATGATGGACATCAAGGTGGTTCAATGAACCAAAATGACCCATTGATCAATTTTGGAGGACCTATAACTCGAGCTAGTGCTAAGAAGGTCAAAGAAGCTTTGTCAAGCTTCGTACAAGTCATTGACTCAAAAGTGGTTAATGGAAAAGCATTTATGGTTCATGATGGTCCATCCATAGTCAAAATGGTTCAAGCCATTACCAAACAAGTTAAAGCAATATGAAAATAAAAGGCTTAAAAGAATTCAACCTTGTTTTGAACTTGTTAGGTCTTATTTATTTGAAACTTGTTTTATTTTATTTTTGTTCAGTCATATTTCGTTGGGTCTTATTTGTTTAGGCCTAATTTTATTTAGCTAGTTATGTTTACATTAGACTAGTTTCAATAATATTTGAAGGTGGGCCCAAATAAGCTATAAGTTTTTGGTTTAGATTCAAGCCTTCTTTATTATGTTCTAATTTATCTTCTTATTTATGTTGATTTAGGTAATCATTAAGGAAGGGTTGCTATGCTTAATCATAGCATTTAATGTTCCTTATAATGATGGAGGTTATGTTCATTATGATGGAATCATCCTAATTAAGTTATTATGGCAAGAGAAGGATACATAAGGGAGGTTACAAGAAAAGGAATATGACTCGTCATAATGATAAAAAGGTTACATAAAGGAGGTTACAAAAGAGGCATTATTGGTGTTATTTATGAATTATATTTTCCTTTAGTCCAAAATTACCCTTGGCATTTCACTATATAAAGGCAAGGCTTTATCATTTGTGTCAATAACATTCAGAATACAATTTCTATGTCTTTTTCAAATGAGAATTGTTTCTTTAAGCTTTTGTTTGGCACTTTAGAACTTATCAAACTTTTGTTTGTGGTGTTCAAAATCTCAAACACCTAGTAGCTATAGTCTTTATCTCATTATAGATAAAAGGTTATAGTTCTTATTCTTAAGGTCTTTAGCTCAATATAGCTAAAAGTTTTTAAGATTATTTTCTTTGTTTCTTGAATCTTGATTGATAGATCCTAAACATAAAGGAATTGTTTTCGGGATTTTTGAGTTGTTTAATCTTTATCTCTTTTGGATCAATATATCCATTGGGTTTGAAGTTGCAAATTCAAAGGTTCTAATTTCAATTTCATATTAGTACAGTGCCCACCTTCTCCATAGATAAAGGATCGAGAAAAAAAGAAAAAAAGAGGTATAAAGGAATAAGCCTCTTACAAGAGCTTCACGCCTTCTTATTGAAGAGGAATTGAGAGGTCTAATTTTTCTACAAAGAGACGAGAGAGGTTTGAAGTATAAGGAAAGCTTTAGGGCAAGCCCTTCCAAAACAAAAGGCAAATATGGTTTGGGGTTTTAAGGTAGCTTGGAGGTTTATGGATGTGATTGTAGCAAAGGATGTCCTCTAGAGAGGGTGGCTCAACCGGGGTCCATTTATGTTCATTCTATAGCATTTATGAGGAATTTACTCCTTTATTCTTCTCTCGGTAGAGGATCTTTATATAGCTTGCGGATCTTATTTTTTTCGACAGAAATTTCTCGATACTAAAAGGTGTTTTTTTTATAATAAGTTAGAATCTTATTGTCTTTTGAATTATTACCACATCATAGTGTTGAGGCCTTTTTAGCTGACCTTTTCTTTCTTTTTTCCTTGAGATGTAGCGTAAGGGATAAATTATGTAGTATTTTCTTATAATTGCATGGTAGTTGGATTTGCAAGCCTTTGTATGTAACATTGTTGTTACTTGATGAACTAAATGAGATTCTAAAGACTTTGTTTCTTAATGTTTCTCTTGTTTCTCTTTTTTTTCCCTCCTTTTTTTAATATTATTTTGTATGCAAACAAGTTAACATTGTTGTCTCTTGTCTCTAATAGGTTCAAAGCCTGTGTAGCACTTGTAATATGACTGATTGGTTGTTTTTTCTTTTAATGGGTTTGAAGGGTCTAAAGTATGTGTGGGACTTGATGTTTGTTTGATTGTTTTTTTCACTTTAATGGGTTTGAAGGGTCCAGAACTCATGTCAGACTTGGCGTTTATTTGTTTTTTTTTTTTTTAATTCATGAATAACAAAAAAGACAAATATGATTTCTAATAAAACATAGTGTCTAACCTTTTAAGAGCAATTGATTGCTTGTTTACTCTTTAAGAAGTTCACTCTTTTAGACTCCGCTGAGAAAAAGCTTCCCATCACTAATAAAGCAAAATTCATACATCAAAAGATCCATTTTCTATTCCAAATGCAGCCATAAACACTTCCCATAAAGCAAAATTGTTCACTTTCTTTTGCTAATTCAGCGAACCACCGAATCAAGAATATAGTACAGTTATTTCTCTTTTGTTCTTCTATTTCAAGGTTATTTCTTTTTCCTTATTCCATAAGAGAGTTGCTTCATTGCTCTCCTGAAGTGAACCTGGACATATTGAAATTGTATTACAGGAACACAACACCTACACATTCTTAAGAAGAGAAAACAGTCTATTTACATTTACAAATTCATAATGAGTATCTTGTACACGGAACTGTGTTTTCCTGCTGGCCTATCTACAAAAGGGACAGTCCAATGGTTAGAAATGATGATTTTCTAGTTAGGTCTGAAAAACTAGTTTTGGAAAGACCAAGGGAGAGTTGAATGAGTTCTTTTTTCTTTTCTTTGACATTTTTTTTTCCAAAACAAAATGCCTCTCGGGTGCCAGCAATGACAAGGCAAAGATATAGCTAAGATGAACTATGCTCTCTTCCGTTGCTAGAAGTTGAAATGATTCATAGCCTTACAACTAGCATCCCTCGTCATACAATTTCCACATCCCTTGGGGAAACTGATTCTGTCTCCTGATCAGAAGAACCATTAAAGCTTGTTTTCTTTTTAAAAGACTTCTGGCTAAACACCCTGGCAAAGGCACTTTTTGATCTCGGAATTGTTTGAGGCCCATTGCTTGATGTGATATCACCATTCTTCTTGGCTAGATTTTCTGACAAGGTCTGCACAAGATTGTCAAAACACCGTCTTGAAGTAGGATACCTCGAGACAGATTTGGTAATCCCTTGAAGCCTTGATGATAAAAAAAAATGCAGGTGATTCAGGTAAATAAACCAGATATTGGAAAGGGGCATTGTAAGATCAGTCATTAAAGTCAATGCTTGAACAAAAGTTTTGCAACATTACCTTCGAGCTAGCGCTTCAAGTTCGGCACGTTTACGCTCAGACTCTGGTGGGGGGCCAATATTTGAACTTTTCAACTTTGTGGGATCACCATTCAACAATACTAATCTTCCGAGATAATCCTCTTCTTCCTCAGAAAGGTTTTCTGCTTTAATCTGGTCTTTGATGATCAAAAAGGGGTTAAGAAACCAATCATAGAAGGTATCTTTGGGTCTGTTTGTGCTAGTTATCTCTGTGACATTGTCCCCTGCATCATTGAAACACGTAAAGGCATTTTTATTTTATGTTCAAAACCATTGGAAATGAGAAGCAAGGGAGGAAAATTAAAATTATTTGAAGAAAAAGCATTCACTTACTGAACAAAATACCCGAAGAATTGGCCTTCACAGAGCGCAACAGTGCCTGAAGAATGCAATAAGCTGGTAAACCAATGCTAATCACTCTGCTACCCTTACCAGACTTGGCATTTTCAATGTCTTGTTGTGTAATTAGTCCTTCAGAAACAAAAATCTCACCATGGTGTTGACACTCTTTAAAAAGGCCATCAAGTAGCTAAACAAGGTAAGAACAAAATTTACAATCAATACTTTAGCTATTAACTAAACCACAGAAATCTGAATGAAACTATATTGCTAAGCCACACACCATTTTATTCACAACAGGCCAAATGTGTGTTGGCTATATGAAGCATACCTCAAGAGGCTTAAGATCAACCATAGGATGATTGAATGAAACTGTGCGGGAAGGAGGATTTCGAACAGAAGCAGACTCTGAAAAAGAAGCTGCAGTGGAGCTGGCCTTGGTCAGCTTGGTATCCTTTCGGTATTTTGGCCTGTCAAAGTCAGAAATAACTGTCAGAGTTCAGAAGCCCCCTTTCACATTCGTTAAGGATTTGAGGGCTGAATATAACCTTGGAATCCAAGATCCTTCTGGCATGTCAAGAACATCATTGCTGTACTCATCATAAATGGCCAAGGATGCGACAATATAGCAAAGCCCAAACCAAAACGAAGACTCCTGCAATTCAAAGCCCATAGGATCAACTTCCACCTTTCTGGCAGATATGTTTGGAAGAAATGTACATGACTATATCTGGCATGATATCAAGGTAGCTGAAATATGAATAGAATGACAGAAACAACCCTGGAGCAGAATTTCATGAAATGGATGGACATACAAAGCTTAGGTGCATCACACTAGGAAGAAAAGCAAGATGGCTAGATATTAAACTCATACTGAAACGTTAATAATACAATGGTAAACTACCCAAGAAAGAAATCATCCTGGATGGTTGATACCGGATGTAGAAACTTCGAACCATTTAAGCAGATGTTCTCTTTGTTACAAGCACAGAGAAAATTAATTTCCTGAATTAATATAACAACAAAAACCAAGACTTTGACAGAATATGTAATAGAAAACAAAATACAAGATAAACTGTTGTTCCATTGAAATAAACATCCAAAACTATTTCATTTCATATAAATTTTTTAGGAGGTTCAATATGGCTGGTTATAAATCCAAAGTCTGAAACTATTAATAGATGTTCAGCATGTGAAAGAACTATCAAACCAAGGATACGATTCAGACCTGATAAACAACCACGCCTGCATAAGCACCAAGGAAGATGCTTGATACCATGGAACCCAAAACAGCCCCAACAACAGCCAATGGCCAGAGGAGTATAGCAAGACCTGCAAAAGGTACACATATCGTCTCCAAGAAAGGACCTTCCCGCCCTATAAGGTCATGAAACAATCGATGCCACCCCTTAAAGAGCATGTATGGGCTTTTGCAGATGGCAATAAGTGAGATCAGTGAAAAGTCGCAAATGATACCAAGTGAACCAGCAATGACAGCACTGGGAAGATGAAGCAATCTGCAAAATGTCAATATGAAGTTGAATGTAAAACAAAATCCATCACTAACAAGAATAAAACAAATCTTTGATTAGCTATGCCACTACATGACCAATTCATTGGTTACTATGCTTGGCAAATTATGTTCATCACTAGGTATGGATTTTTCACCCTCATTTTTCCATCGTCCTCCCAAAGAAGAAAAGAAACAAGAGAAAAAAGAAAACGACACACAAGAATTTGTGGTTCAGCCACATCAACCTATGTCCAACCAGGTAAATGATGCACAGCCTGCACCCTGAAATGGGAGGTGACAACAAATATGTTCTCTCTCAAGCCCAGGTCCCAACTACCAATATGCTTGTTTCCACCATTGTACTCAAATTGATTTTTCCACAACCTACACTTTTCTGGTACAAGATTTATTTGACAAAACAAGTCAAACTAGAGTTTCTTAACGAGTCAACTGATCCAAATAACTTGGACAAAATTTCCCACTAACTTGAGAGCTTAGAATTCTAGACATAATCAACAATGAGTGTGTTGGGCATGTAACTGTGACTGATTGCCAGAATCAATCTGATGCATTCGCATTTATAAATCAAGTTATCAAAGGCTCGCAACTCCTCTAACACTCAAAAGCAGCAGATATGGAGGTAAGAGACCTCTTGTGAAAGCAAACTCGTTCCACCCACAACACGAAGATAGAGTTTCTACGAGATTGCTATCATTTCTACCACTGCTACAATAATTGATTACTGAACTTTAAGCAAATAGTTTACAGAGGCTGAAAATTAAATATGATATGACCAATCCCAAGTCATGTACATCTGACAAGCCAAAAATAAAGCTTCAATATCTGGGTGCAGTTCAGTAACTCAAATACTGCAAAAGTAGAGAGTTCGAAACCAGTTTCAGTAACTCAAATACACAAGCATGCTTAGCCTAGTGGTTGTGTACCCAATTAGCTAAGGTTTGAGTCCCGGTGACTCCAAGTTTCTTTGGTGATATGTAATGAGAGAAGGCTATCACATTGTGCAGCCCAAAGGTCTATGGGCCTCAAATGAATTAAAAAATAAAACGCCTAAAAGATTTCAAATTTCCAAGTAAAAGTACTTTGATCATTAGATAAGTAGAGTTTTTTCCAAACTAAAAGAATTGTTTTGAAGGTTGTTGTTCGTATAATGTGCTGGGTATTTTCAAGCCATGCTACTTTGCTATTATGAGGGATTTCCGTGGCAATAAATGGATGTTAACATAGAGATGAGCTGAATCAACGAACATATCATTTTTTTTTTTGCAGAAAAAACAAACAGCAAACCTGATTTCATAATATTTCCCATCTGTAGCCCCATGTCGCAGGTCATCCAAAAGTGAGAAGTAAGAATGATAACAAACATCTTTGAAATCTCTGACAACAGTGAAACTCCCTTTAACAGTGTCCCAAGTTCCATCCTGCAAATGTAGATTGGTGAAATCTATCTCATGAAAGAATAAATCGGATAAAGTGCAGAGAACACAATGACCAAGACTTGGTATTTAAGGCATACATAAAAACAGTGATAAAGCATATTAGTCTTCCTGTCTCCAACAGCAGCAAAAGTGGCAAATATTGGGGAAAGAAATCCATAGAGTGCTCCACCTATGATACTCCCAACAATGCCAAGAACTAGCCACGAAATCAGGGGAGTTGGTAGGCATATGCAAACCACAAGCTTCAGCATTGGCCCTACTTGTTTTGCTCTGCCGATTAGAAAGTACTCAAATGAGAGAAATCACTGTAAGTAGATGAGCATTGGGGGCAACAGAAAAGGAAAATATAAGGTCAAAGAAAGAACCTCAAAATTGAATAATACGTCCTGACAACATGTAGTGGCCAAAGACCAAAAATTATGGAAGAGTTTCCAATGGTCACGATCAGGCATACCAACGGGCAGAAAACAATACCTGAAGATAAAGGTTTGGCAAATGACAGGTTCATAACTAGACTATATTCTAAAGCTAAATGTGTGCATTCAATAATTAGAATCACCTTTGTATTTTCTAAAAAATACAATTTCATCAAGTCATAGAACTTCAACGTAAGTTAGATATCTAGCATAAATAAATCAATAGCATAATTGGGAAAATTCCTGCTGAAAGGGAAAAAACGAGAGGAAAATAATAAATGGAATAAAAACAAAATAGAACTTTATACCATTTTTTTTTTTTGAAAAAAAAAAACTGTTCGGTTGTTTATCAATTAAAAAGGGGACATTTAAAAAACAGAAATAACAAGGTTCATTTCTTCACATTGAACAGGTGAATGATATCCTCCAGAACATTAACATTTAAATGTATGCTCAAAGTAATAAATTATCCGAATTACGCAAAATATTAGATAAAAAGAGATAAAACTGAAAGGTACAATATGACTGTTAATAATTATTATTCAATACAAATATACAATTTCTTTAATTTCTCAATAATACAGTTTCCCTAAATTAATGTCATCAGATGCAATTTCAGTTTCCCAAAGAAGCAAACAACCTCAAAATTAACAAGCAACATTTGATAACACTTACCTTTAATGGTTCCAAGAAGCAGAAGCCCAAGGAAGAAAGGCAGAAAGATAATGAAGCTCCATAAAGAAGCCAAAAACCCCTTTGGAGGTTCCATATCTCTTTACACTCCAAAACCACTTAGATCTTCACAAATTCACTATAAACCCATCTCAGAATCAGCCCCAACCCCTTCCTGCAAGAAAACCAAACACCCCATCTTTAACCACTTCAAGTTACAAAACAAATATCCATAGACAGGCAACCAAACAAAAAAGAAAAAAGAAAAAGACCCAGAAATCCAGAACCTACTTGCTGCAAATCCCACTTGACAACACAACAAAAGGTTTGATTTCGCTCTCCTACTGCCACCAAATGGAGGAAAAAAAAAAAAAAAAAAGCAAGGTGGGGCCTTTCTTATTCTTTCTCCCTAACTTTAAAAAGTTCCTGATAAGTATCTTATTCTTTCAGAAGTTAGTGTTTCGAAAATGAGTGAAGTAGAATTTAAAAATGTTATAACATAAAAAGGCTTGTTGATTGAAGGAACGGATGGCAGTTAAATAACCGTTCTTTTGAAGCCTCGGAAAAAAATCAGATTTTGTGGACAAATCGGTTGCTGTCAAGAGAGAGAGCACTGAATGAATGGTTGGTTTGCCAAACCTTTCCTTTCTTTTGTACTGTGTATATATCCTTGAACGTCAAGCAAAGCACTAAGAAAATCCAGCTTTGAATTGCGTGTAGTAATGTGTTTTTAAATAGTTCACTATTGTCAGAAATTATTTAGCTGCTTCCTAAAATGTGTAAAAATTTGGGATACCTCAATCCAGCCCCTATGTATTACCCCACTATCAATTGAGTTTCAAAACTTTTAATTTTATAAATTTTATCTCAAATGTATTATTCTATCATCAATTGAGTCTCCATCCTTTGATTTTATCTGATTTTACTCCAATTGTATTTAACCTCTCGTAATGTCACCTCTCAAGTCATCACTTGTTAGTTATAATTAAATATTCTGTCAATTTGCATCCATATTTTAATTAAATGCTTTAATTCGAGATACTAAAATAAATTAAAGATACACCGACAAATAATTTTAATCTTAAATAACAGTAATTTTGTTTTTCCTCCACTTCACAAACTTGTATAAAATAAAAATTTACTATAATTTGATGCTAAAATTATTCGTTATGGCACATTAAAATTTATTTTTAAAAAAAAAAAATACTATGCGATTTTACCTTTCAATCCATCCGATGATAATGATAGTAAAATATTTTATTCAATTTGTACGTGCTCTTTTAAGTATTTCTATTAAAACGTCAAAACAAACTCTAATATTCCATTATTAATAATTTTTGTATCAAATAAATGTAGTTTTTTTTTTTTACTATTATTATTATTATACAAGCAAGTGAAGTGGAGAAAAAAATATAAAGAAAAATTCACCATGTCTTTAAGCTAAACTTGTCTTTTAAGTTATATTTAGGATTATTTTAGCACCTTAGATTGACGCACTTAATTAAAAGAATATTTAATTATCTCTAACTATTGTTGAATTGAGGATGACATTGTAAGAGGTTCGTTGTATTTAGGATAAACATTGATAAAATCAAAAGATTCGAAACTTAATTAATACTACGTCAAGGGTAGATTGAGGTTTCCACTAAGCATCTATAAACTCTACCAATAGTTAGACGACATGGATATCCAAACACTCGCTCTTCTGAAACGATTTCCACGCGCCACAGTATCAGACCACGTGTACCAACCGGATTAGGACAGGCATTACAGGGGAGCGCGTAATGAGCGTTAGATATATGTGCGTGCATATAGAAGTCAGGGCGCTCGCGTCTGACTTATGTTCGTTTAGTGGCGGTGTTGTCTGTCTCTTTCGACGGTAATAACATTTACTTTGATAAAATCTGAGGTTCTGTCTGCTTAATTAAGACTTTGGACCCAACTTTTTCAAAGACGAATCTTTTTTGTAAATTAATGATAGAAACCAGAAAAGATGTCGTCTAGCAGCAGAAGAGAGTTAGTTTAATTTAGCCAAAATCCAATTTCAATTCTCATTAATAATTAAATTTTTTTTAATAATATCAAATTTAAATTTATTTTATCTAAAAAAGATTCTAATGATTTATCAAAAATTAAATATATTATAGCATTGGTTTAACCTAAAAAATAATAAACTTAATTTCGATGGATGTAAAAATTAATTCTGAAATATCTTACTATATGTAAATATATAAAAAAATTATTAATAGAAATTGTTCTATTGTCCAATTAAATGATAATTTAATTGAAAAAATAAAAGAAGTGAAAGTAATTTTCTTTCTTGGATTCGTTATTTGAATAAAAATCCTAAAATATTTAGATCAGATTATAATAATACTCTTATTGTTGTCATCAAATCCCAAAGTATTTTGTAAGGTAACTAATATTATTATTAATAATATAAAAAGCTTAGTTCATTATTACGTGACACAATAATAAATTTAACAAATAAAATATTATTTTCATTCTTGGGTTGGTTACTTAAATTAAAATCTTAAAATATTTAGATCGGATTATAGCAATACTCTTATTATTATTAGTAAGCAATAAATAAAGAGGGCAAACATTTTTAACAATCAGACTAATCGTTTGGAATTAATTAATATTTCTATTAATAATATTTCTTCTGACCCGAAGTAATTGTTCTTTTTAGTTTTTTACATAGTTTAAGAAATTTATTAATTATAATCTCAATATTTTTTAACAATATTTTTCTAAAATACTTTTAAAAAAATTATCCAAGTTAATCTTACATTACAAAATAGGAGTATTTTATAAAAATAAAATATTAAAATTTTTGAAATATATATAAATAAAAAAAGGACAATTGTTTTTTAAGAGAGAGAGACTATAAAAATTTTAAGTTTAGTGTTATGTGACTTAATAACAAATTTAACAAATGAAGTACTTATTTTCTTTTTAGTATAAAATAATTTATTTTATGCATAAACTTATTTTTTTCTTTTTCAAAAATTAATATATGAGTGATAAAATAATAATCACAATTTCAAGTGAGGATATTTTTATAGTATTAATAACGGAATAATAGGGGTATCGGTATTATAACAAAAACTTTCACTTTTCTTTTCCTTGAAAACTAAGATTCCATTACTCAGTTGAAAAGTCATTTTTCTCCTTAAAAAAGGCGGGGAGGTTGCGACGTAAAATTCCATCATAACTTTTCTCTGTTTTCCTCAAAAACTAAGACTCTGTTTGTTTCGAGGAATATAAGTTCTTGGAACTTATTTTTTCTAATTTTCAGTGTTTATTTTATATTTAGAAAAAAAATAAATAGAAAATAATTTTTAATCAACAAAAAATGATAGAGTATTTTTGAAAAAATGTTTTCTCAATTTCAAAAGAGAAAAACATTTTCCTTCTCACGAGTTGTCTCGCTCTCGTGTTACTTACCTCTCTCGATATATTTTAACAATTTTTTCTCTACCTTCTTTTTATTTAAAATATATCATATTGATTTTTAATTATTTCTTATCAATTATTTAATTATTTTTTTCTCTATTTTTACTAATATTTGATTTTTTTATTTATAGATACATTAAATATTCTTAAAAATCATTTTTACACCTTAGAATTATTTTTATAATAAATATTTTAATAATTTATCTCTATGTTTTGACTATTATCTCAAACACCACGTAAAATATACTTAAATTATTGAAAATGATTATTACAAAACTATAATTTTTTGTAAAAAAAATTAAAATTAATTAATTCATCAATAAATATATTATTTTTTCAACACTATTCACTTGCAATTAAATCAATAATTTGTAATTTATAATTTTAATCAATTGCAAAAATTTTTCACTGAAACTATACTTAAATATTGACTTGATTTTGTCCTAAGTAATTTTGATGAATTGGTTTGATGGTTAAAAGAGTATATTTTATTTTTTGAATTAAAATTTTAAAGTTAGTATTTATGAAAATTTATTAAATTTTTCTAAATGTATTTTATATTGTGAAATTATGAATATGTCTTTTTAAAGTTTTCTCAAAACTTTTTGATATAACAATCATATATGTTTTCGTATTTTAATTTTCTATATCAAACAAACGTTAGAATATATTTTTTAATAATTTTTTATATAATTATCGAACAGCGAGAAAATATATTTTTGGAAACAAGTGCCTGAAAAATAACTTTCTCAGAAATTAATTTTTCTATAAAACTTGTTTTCTCCCTAAACAAACATAGTCTAACGAGGTTAGAGAATGAGTCTTTCAACTTATTCTTACTTCTTTTACTTTCATAGCATAATAAACCTAAACTTAGCTCTCTCTCTCTCTCTCTCTCTCTCTCTCTCTCTCTCTCTCTCTCTCTCTCTCTCTATATATATATATATATATATATATATATATATATATATATATTAAAAAGAGAACCGAAATAAAATTTATATTCCCGCCGGTGGGAAGAATAATTAATAACTATGAAAGTGAGATTCTCGTTAAAGGACAAGAAAATGGAGGCCGAGTTATGCTTATGGTGTCCGAAGAATCTATAATTATAATTAAAAACACGAAATTTACATATATAAAAAAAATTCAATAACTATAATAGTTTTGAAGGACCATAATACCATTATATACTTATTTAATGCATGTATGCTTCCTAGATTTTTAATGTAACATTCTGAATACGTGTTTTCTGTTTAACTTTTTTTTCTTATTATACTGTTTTTTTTTCCCTTTTCCAATTCAGTATTCAATATTGTGTTTTCTATATAATATTTTTAAAACATTTTTCAATACATATATATATAGTTTTGTAAACCACATGAACTTTTCTTTTTATAATACCATAATTTATTACTATTATTATTATTATTATTATTATTATTATTGTGTCTAATGCCACCATAGAAGAACCTTTAACTTTAAAAGTACATCAAAACAATATTGAAAAAAAAATTCCTTTATTCGCATATTTATAACTTATGGATTTTAGTTTTTATAGTCCATTTAATAAACAACAAAAATGAAACTAGATTGCTCGACAATCCCATTATAATTTTGAAAAAAGTTTTTATCATT